CCAGCTTTTCATCCACCAGTACCCCCAAGGCTGCTCTCAAATCCCTTTACAGCGGGACATAGCGAGGAGCTGGTTTATTTTTGCCAAAGCTGGCATCCCTGTGCTCATTTGAAAAACATGAGTTTGCTGGGTTTGGTTCTTACCTTGTTTTGCTCCATATTTTATGGTTTATTTTCAGTCTAGTGCTCTATTCATTTTTTAAAGTGTAATGATGAGCCTCTGTTGAAAAAACTTAAAATACCCTCTTGATAACCACCAATGTGGTGGGTTTTGCTTATGAAGGTTTTTTTAACTTTTAAAAGTCTTTTTCTCTGTTCAGAATCTTAAATATAACCAGTGCTAGAGATGAGAAAAACATTAGCTCAGAGTGATAATGTTTATTAATACATATCTTATGATCCCATGCAGGTGCTTAGAAAAAGCCTTCAAAGGGGGGTTGCACTCTCAACAGGGTCCTTTTTGGTTTATGAAGCTCACAAGCTAATTACTGTCTTTCCTGAGGTTCATGCAAGCTTCAAAGGTAATATTTTCAAATTTTGACGTGCTTAGGTTATTCTAATTCCAAACTTAAAGTTTTTGGTGCCAGAATTATGTAGAAAAATGGTGTAATGCTTGTGATCTTCTGCATTAAGACTGCATGCAGTGTATTTCCATGTCAGGATGCTTTTGAATGGGTTCAGGGTAGTCTTGTAGCATTTTAACAAGTGATTCTTTCAAGTGCCACTGAAAGCAGATCTAGTAGTTCATCCTGTCTAGGATATAACACATGCACAAGCTGTATGATGCCAAACTTGTTGCCCAAGGTTTAAATAACTTACTGAGAAAGATATGGTTCAGTTAGGAATACAGACCAAACCTTAATCAGTTTCTAGAAATCTTAGTTCAGATTTTCAATATGATCACAGTGCAATTCCTATTTAATCTAGTCAAGCAGCACTGAGATTGCATTTCACCTAGAATTGAGAAATGTCTCATATTTTTGCCATATTGAAAAAGGGGAAGAAAAGCCTTGGTTTACCTACCAGAAAAGAGTAGAACAAGTGATAAAGTGTCCTTTTCAATATCTGAATAAAGATAGTCTTACTGCTGGAAGAAAAGTAACATTATCTTAAAAGGGGATGTTGTTGCAGACTTAGAACTTTTCTATTACATGGCAAATTAAAGGTTTTGGAAGTAAGCCTAACTGAACGGAGAATGAGCTTAGTTTAAATGTATGCTTACTGTGTAGATTAGATAGTAAGTAGTTCAGATAACCTGTTTCTCTGTGTCTCAAAGAGAGGAACATCTTAGATGTTTATGCTTATAGAAATAAAAATTTAGACGATGGGCTTTTGAACGGGTAAGAGCTGCTTCATTTGATGTAATAGAAGGAGCTTCAGTGAATAGATTTAAGATAGCTACTCAGTACACAGATAAGAAAATTTTTGCAGGAGGAACATAAATAACACTACTTAGTTGCCTCTGGTCTTTTTTAGTGCTCTCACTTGAATCTGGCATTTACCTTGCCAAAAAAAGCAATGTTAGTATGCTTTCTGTGCAAGACAGGTAGAAGATAGGGTGAAAATAAGAGTAAAAAAGAAATACCTGAAAAATACTCTTAAAGAAATAAAAGTCTAATAAAGTCTATATAAAACACCTGGTGGGAAATGAGTTCAGAAGTTTGAGTTCTGAGGATTTAGTCATTAGAAATGTTAGTGGTGTTCAGGAATTCTCAACAACCAAACTGAAGATAATACTGAAGATGTACCATGAACCTAATCTTAGACACTAAAATCCAAAGTCCATGTAGACCATTATCTTATCTTATCTTTGAAATGGTTGATAAAAGGTATTTAGAGATGGCAGGGTTAAAAATTATCCAGAATGCTCTCCTAATCTTCACTGATTTATATTCTAGGATCTTTTTAAGCTGAAGAGGAGGCTTTTGTGTTTAGTAGCCTTCAGTGTTTCTTTCTTGAAGTAAAACTGTCCTGCTGTGAAACATAACTACTGTGTTCAGTAGATAATTTGAAAAAAGAAAGCTTATAAACATTAATTTTTACGAAGTGGGCAGGATAGAGCTTATGTTTTGACTTAGAAGTTTCATCACAAATCCAGGAGTAATACCAAAGAGACAATAAGCATAGCTGAAAGTTTTGTAAGAAATTAGACAAGGCTTCTGAATTAAAAGGTAATTTTTTCATGTTTTAATGTTGGCAGAAGACTAAACTTGGATTTTGTTCTTCTCCTGTACAGTTACATACTTCAACAGAATATTCTACCTCGTTCCCTTTGGGTATTTTTCCTCCTAATTCCATGTGTTCTCATGCTTGAATCCTGTATTGCGTGGTGTTTGATATTTCTGTTTCTGGTATGCTGTTCTATGTACTATATACATGTAGTATTTAAATATATATAATATTATATCGTGCAATATAATATTATATATTATTATATTTCCAGTTGTGGAAATTGTACTCCCCTGTTTCTGTTGTCAGGGTTTTTTAAAGTATTCTGTAGAAAAAGAATTAAAGTATCATAAGAACAATGGGTACTTTGTTCATAAATTGATACTCTAGAAAGCCAATTCTGATTTTTCAAAGTATTTTTGCTTTTAGTATCTTGAACATATAAAGGTTTCAGTAGATGAACTGTATTTTTTGGAGTCCTCTTTGTGAAAATCCTAAGGATTTGAGTCAGAAAACCTTTGAGCAATGTTTCATTTTGGCTTGATGAGTAAGATAATGGGAACCCACTTAATCTGCAGTGATTAAAAATAAATCTGGCAAAACTGTGGAACCAGACTGCATTCCAGAAGAATTTTTTTTTAATTATTTTTTTCATTATTATTGTTAGATTTAATTTTGGTACATATCCTAATGAAGGGGTTTTGTTACTCACATCTCTACTGCACTTGCTTTCCTGGTCATATTTTTCATACTTTTTTTTTTCTTTTCTGCCATTTTCACAAGGAAGAAAACAAATTGCTTCTAGTAGTCTGATGCATTACAGAAGACAGTTTTGAATGTTAAATCCATTAAGCATCCAAAGCTCTGTTACTGAAAGCTGTTTTGTAGTTCCATGAGAGAGGCATATATTCAGCACTGTGTCTCTTCATAGTTGTTCACTGTAAATGTAGCTTATCCAATCCTGCTGTGTAAGTTGTTAGGAACGATGGCCCAAAAAGGAACTGCATTATTTATTCTTTGTGTTTCAGCTAGGTTGTCTTGCTGTAAAATGTTTTGTTTATGCTATAACGTCCTACTTACATGTCATCTGTTCTTCTGTTTCCACAATTTTAATTCCTTCCTAAGTGGAAGAAGTTATAGAGCAAGCAGACTACTTGTATGGGAGTGGAGAAACTGAAAAGCTGCATCGGTTGCTGGTTCAGCATAAAAATAGGTACGTTGAGACATTACTGTGACTTCTTTTCTGTGCCTTTCTGTTCTCATTGTGGTGTGCTGGAGAACCTTGCTTTCATCCTTAGGTAAGTATGAAAAAAGGACTCTTGATCTTTTTCCTCCTGATGGAAAAATGAATGAAGAAAAGTGGTAGCTGGCAGGTGGTGGGGGATAACATTCAAATTTTTGACTCCTGCAAAGTAGGGCTTTTTTGCTTGTTTGGTTTGTTACTCCAAGAATCCTTCAAAATACAATGCAAAAACTCATAATGTGTCTATACATTACTAAATGATCACAATACCTAGAATTCTGGTATTGAAAACTTTTGAGAGTCACTGTTTCATTTCTTTTTTATTGCTGACCATCTGTTTTTTCTGTTTTCATTTGTCTCATATTAGGATTCGAGTCTGAACAAAAAAGCTCCTTACTCATGTAGTTATGTTTTAATTGCACAAAACATTATTGATAAGCAAACCGGGACAAGCTGTTTAAGGAAAAAGCAGAAAATGCATTGCAAACTGAAAAGTCCAGTCCTTTGGAGAAGACAGGGCATCTCACCTGTAGAACATTTCTGGAGGAAGTCAATTGTTCAGTTGTTTTCAGTAGTTTTCAGGGTTTTTTTTTTTCCCTTCTTGTTCTGGCTGGGGTGCAAGTATATAGCCTGGGAAGTTAAATGAAGGTCCTTCCTAGCCTGTAAGGGACACCATGTCTTAAGCAAGGTGTAAGCTTGCTACTAGGTGTATAACAATGCTAATTATTCTGTGAGGAGTAATGATTCCGGTAGCAATACTTAACATTTTTGTGACTTGGCTGAAAAATGGGTCTGCTATAACAACTACGGTGTTAATTGCAGGAGGACTGCCGCAGTGTGAGCAGTGACTCAGTTTTACTCCATATAAGAAAACTGACTTTTATTGATATTCTGAGTTTAGCAATAACTTCTGTATGCTTTTTAATATTTTTGGTTTCTGGTAGTTTTGACCTCAGTATTCCTGTTGGGTGGAGAGTTCTATAGCCACACAGCCAGAACCTCTGAAAGACTTTCTAAACTTAAATTTAATATTAAAGTCTCCATTAAAATAGCCAAAATTAAAACAGTAGTTAGGTAAAAGTATAGTAAAGTGCAAGTAGTGTTTCAAAACAATATGTTAACAAAATAATAAAACTTAAAATCCCTTATTTTTTGGCTATAACCTACCATACATCATTTGATAGTGATATAAATAAATATATAAATGTACAGCTTTATGTGGTGAGGGTATGGCTAACCTGTTTTTTTCACTGTGTTCTAGGAAGAATTCCATTATTCAGGTACAATCATAGAGAAAAAGATGCATAATATTTTAAACATTCCTAGTAAACTTTAATATCAAATCAGTGGAATGCTGGAAGAAATACCATCTAGCTAAGGACAAAGTAGTCCTTGTTTTCCGTATAGTGTTTTGCGTGGTACTTTTTGGGTTTTTAAATCTCCATCTTTTTTTAGAAAAAAAGTCACTTTCATACAGATACTTTTGCTTCACAGACCAGAATGGCAGAACAAAGGTATCGTCCGACAGTCTATAATGGAGGGCTTGCATTTGTTGTTTTTCACCTTGGAGCTCTATAGAATGACAGATGATAATGCTATTGTCTTATCACCCACTTGAGATACATATTTAAAGACTGGTTTAACATCTTTTCTTGGTTTGTTTCCATTATTGCTTTAAAACGTTAGTGTTTCTGTTCATAACTAGTGATGACGCAGAATTGTTATGGCGGCTGGCACGGGCATCACGAGATCTAGCTCAGCTTAGTAGTACTTCTGCAGAGGAGAAAAGACAACTGGCATATGAAGCCTTTGAGTATGCAAAAAAGGCACTTGAAAAAAATGAATCAAATTTTGCAGCGCACAAGGTGAGCCATACAAAACAACTTAACTGAAATTGTGTTCTTTGATTTCTGCCAGTAGAAACTGGAACAAATGTCATTTGTGCTGTCTCAGCAACCATCAACATAACTTAAGTTTTCAGCTGCGAATGAGTGAGACTTCTAATTCTTCCTGACTGTTTTGGAAAATCAATGTTCAGACTTTTGCAGCTAAATTTCCTGTATACAGGAAACAGGAACTGGTTAAATATGTGCAGGACCATGGAAAGAGATGACTGATCAGGTTGATTACAGCTGATGTAATCAGCTCATCCTTCTCTGATGTACCCTTAAAAATGTTGTCCATGCCCCACATTGAGCATGTTGTTTCTGGGCACATTAGTAGTTCTGTAGAGTTTCACTGGAAAAACTTCAGGCTCTGGCTTTGTTCTGCTCTTTTTTTGTGCTGCTTCTTTCACTGGCAGAGAGGTTCCAAAGTATAGTCAATTGTGTCGTCATCTTGGGTAAGAGGAGGACATTGATTTCCTTATGCATGCAGACCAGCATGTTGCTGTGATGCTGCCTGAGCTGTTCGTTGTTGTTAGAGGTGGTGGCAGCAGCTGTTCTGTTTTTAGTTTTGGGGTTTTTTTTAATTTACTATTAATAGCCATAGTGCTGTATTAAATGTTTTCTTTTTGTTCTTTGAATTACAGTGGTATGCAATTTGCCTCAGTGATGTTGGAGATTTTGAAGGAATCAAGACTAAAATTGGAAATGCCGTCATTATCAAAGAGCACTTCCAGGTAATGTAAACAGTTTTTTGCATATGATAGCATTAATGCATCCAGTATATAGATAGTGTGAGAGTTGTCAGCTGTTTTCTTATGAAAACTTGCAAATGTACTTCTGGTCAAATCTCCTGATGACATTTCCTTTTTTGGGTTATTGTGACAGTCCTGAATGCCCCAGCAACAAGGAGTACAAATTATCTCCTGCAGTAAACTAAGTCCCTATAGAAGAGAGTCTTGAAATAGCTAAAGTGCTTTTGACACCTCTTAGGACTAGATAAAAGGTAACTGTGCTATTGAGAAATGGATGTGTGGCTGTCCTTTTAACTGTGGATTGTGTAGCAGTGAAGGACAAATAGTGGAGAAGATAAAGGACTACTAATTTTATAGCACCAGAAATTATATCAAGATCTGAACTTGCCAAGTCTCATGTGAAACTCGTAATGACCTACTAAACAGAAGTACCTAGAAATCTGTCAGTGTCTTTAGTGTTTTGGAGGTGAGCCGATTCAGTTGTGCACTGAATAAATGCTGTATCGCCTTGACATTCTACACACTGTTAATCTGGTTTAATTAACAGTAGGATAACAAGTTTACTTTTTTAATGTCTTTTAATCCAAATATTGCAGAACAACTTTTTAGATCTTGTCTTTTTTTCCCCCTCTCACTAGAGAGCCATTGAACTGAATCCAAAGGATGCTACAACAATTCATCTTATAGGCATTTGGTAAGGAGTATTTTCAAACAAAAGTTAGCATGTGGCAAAGAAAAATGCCAGAATATAAAATGTCTTATAGGAATTGCAAAAATGCTTGGAATAATTCAGTGGCTTGTAATTAATTGATGTAAACATGAAAACCTATTGAACGTGTATAGGACATCATGCCTTTTAAAGTGTGACTCTTAATTCTTACGCAGTTAAAAAAGACGAAAAATAATTGTTCATTCAATTTGTTTGTTTTACTCTATGGAACTATTAAAAACTCATTTTACATGTTTCCGTAGCAGACATCAGAGACTGTGAGTACTACTCATTTTGTTCTACTGGTGTGACTGAAGACAAAACTCAATGGTGAATTTACATTGAATTTCAGTGATGGCTGCGACCTAATACAATCTGTGTATAGTGGAATGCTATCAAAAGTGATATGTGTTCCTCAAATAATTATGTTGTTATCTGTCATAATACTGTATTTTAAAAGTTACATTTAAGTAAAGGCAGCTTATACAGATGCATTAACAAAAATCTCTGAAATTGAATTTATTGCTCAGTGAAATTGTTACTAAGAATTACTGTTACATAGCAGGCGAAGGACTGGAAATACGACTTTCCATACTAACTACGGTATTCTGTGGAAGTGGTGTGCTTGAAAGCAGTATCTTTTATGTGTTAGTGAAGAGACTACACAGCATTTCTGGTTATATGAAAGAGACCAAAGCATTGTTTTACAGGAAATCTCTACTGTAAGACTGAGAAGTTGAAAATAAATAAAGCCAATGTATTTGTAGCTTAAAAAACAAATATACTAGAACCACAGCCACCTTCTCTATGTCTTTTCTGGACTCTTAAGTATCAGAGTAAACTTCAATCTACTGCTCCAGAGTTTATTAGTTTACAAACGTACTTCAGTTTTTCAGCATCCAACACTCATTCCCATGTGACTTAACAATAGTCCAGATTTTTAAACAGAAGCATATGCTACCAACTGAATGAGCCTCAAGGTCAGTTTTGAGATACGAAGCCTGTTCTGGAAAGTACTTAAGACGTTGTTCCTAAGGAAAATTAGAGAACATCAGAAATATGAGATTTCATTTCGTGCTATAATATCCCCATATTGTGTACTTAAATAAATTCATTATTGAATCCCAGATGCTCTGGGATTTCATCTGAAACTGGGATTCAGCCAATTCTTGAGGATTTTTCACCTTTCTAGTCTATCCTGGATTGAACCTCTTTTATTGTCATTTCTGATAAGGCATGTCTGATGGCAGAATTTCAGCTCACACTGTGTATTCCATGCCTTACCCCTCTTTCCTCTGAGCACTTCTATATTTGCATTTATTAATTTTTCACCTCTTCCCGAGTGCTCAATTTTACACAGTGAAGAATATTTTTATACTCATTGTGGGAGGTAATAAAGTGAATAGCGTTGTTTAACACTTACACCTGGAATGTTGTGTGTATTTGAAATATTTAACAACTGTTTAATCTTTTCAGCATCTCTAAGATAGCTGACTGATTATCTTTGTTATTTAGTAAATAGGAAAACAGTGTAGAATGGCCGAGCCTAGAACACAGTAGTTTGATTCTTGGGTTTATTTTCATTCTTATAGATAACAGTCTTTCAGGAATGTACTGCAGATCTCCTTTATATTAATAATTGAGAAAACCAAGGTAATGTTGAGGTAAGGCAATGACATTACTTAGTTTTGCCCTGTTTTTGCAAATGTATTAGAACAGTGTCAAATACACATAAATCGTTAAAATAATTCAAGCTCAAAAGCTGTCTCATGGTTAGTAACTGTCTGCAGTTTCGTCTAATATAATAGCAGTACCCAGTAAAAGACACACCAAAACTTCCTTAGTACAGCTACATAGCAACTTCAAACATCTTGCTCTTTTGTTGTACAGTTATAAGAACTGGCTTATAGAAATTGCAATTTGGCTGGAGTTGTTGTGACTCTTGGAAACAATAGTTGTGACATCCAAGGTATGAGAAAGTTGCTTGCAAATAACATAAAAATGCGAAGGGTATATACAAATGTTTCCTTTTGCTCCAGGTGTTACTCCTTTGCTGAAATGCCATGGTACCAAAGAAAAATAGCTGCAACACTATTTGCCACACCACCAACCTCCACATTTCAAGAGGTACAGTATGAAAATGTTTCACAGATTATTATTCCCCCCACAAAGCTGCTGATACACTTTTACTAATTTTCCTGACAAAGATGACCTCTGCTTATAGAATAAGCATGGACTTGCGAGTTTACAACTGTCATTAATGAAATAATATAACAGGAGAGTGAAGGATATCTAGAAACATAAAAATCTTTAATTTTTTTCAGCTGTAGCTGAAAAACACACAGAACAGTGAAAATTATTTAATGTAGTTTGTGCAGCAGAAAATAACAAGCTATATGTAACTTATTTCGTATTTACTGTTGTGATCTATTGCAGATACCTTCTGATCCCCTGGCTACATATGGTGTAGTTTTTTTCAACTGAAAGTATTTTTGTTAATTTTTGCTATGAAAATTCCTACTGTCATACACCCTAAAACATACTGTCCAGATGTGTATCTTCTAGGGTGTCCAACACAGTATGCATCTTACTTAAACACTTGTACATAGAAACTTGAAAATTAAATTGTAATAGGAAGGTTTGCTGTAGCTGTTATAAATGGTTTTTTTTTTTTCTTTTAGATCAACCAGTAACTGACCCATTATGTTTTGTTCTTTTAAGGTAGGGTGGGCAAGAGTCGCTAGAAAGTAACTGTAGAAGGCTGCTTGCTCTTACACAGAAAGCAATTTAAGCTCTGATTGAAAAAGAAATAAACTTTTTAATGGAATGTCAAGCTTGTAAGTTTTGCTGAAAGTCACTCTCAAAGAATACAAAGTGTCAGCCAGGATTTTGAATACTGCAGAGTCATGCCAGTCCCAGCATCAAGTTCTTGAAGCATTGAAAGTGGCTGAAGAAGCAAACTTGTCCTAGAAGCTGCAGAAAATAAGACTGCTGCAGTTTCAGTACAAATTTTGTTTTGTGGATACATCTGCACTTCTAAGTTCTCTGACAGTATTTTCCCTCCAGCTAGTAACATCAGGAAGAGGTAAGAATGGACTGAAATTTCTGATGTGCAGGATGGGAAACTAGTTGAAAAATGCACACAAATTTCCTAAAGGTTTATTCTCAAGTAAGAGGATACTAACTGGTGCTCTGTAGAAACCAGTACTCCCTGAAATACTTGTCAACATTAATGACCTGAATAATAAGATTTGTTTAATCTATTAACTTTATACATGAGAACTGGCCAGGGGAAAACTGTCAATAGGCTGGAAGGTAGAAATAAAATTCAAAATGCTCTTGACAAGTTGACGTCTGGAAAAACACCATCCAATTTGCTAGGGACAAATACGAGGTACTGTACTTATGGAGGAAGTTGCAGGGGAATAGTTGGTAAGTACTAGTTCTGTTGAGATGTCAGGTCTGATTGTACAGTGAATGAGAACCATCAGTAGCATACTGAATTAATAAGATCATGGACAGGAAGTCTTTCTTGAGCTATGTCAAGCATGCACATAAGGGTTTAGTTTGACGACAGCGGTCAGTTTATTCTCCATTTTAAAGACGACAACCTTCTCTTTTGCAGGCTCTTCATTACTTCCACATGGCAGAGGAAGGTAATACTTCTAGCTTTTTTGGACTGAGTAGTATGTTTTTTATGAATGATGACTTGCAATACATGACTAGCTTTTGGTTTTATCTTAATTGCATATTATCTGCTGATAAGCATATCAAGCTGCTGTGCTACTCAACATTGGAATATTTCATCAGAGGTACTCAAAGCATGTTACACACTTACTATTATTATTAGAGTGTATTGTAAGTCTGTTTTTTGGAGTAAGTATTAAAGTGAAATTTGCACCTTTATTTAGTGACAAAGTACTTTTCCCCAAGGCATTCAACTGGAATGCCAGGGGAAGAAGCAAGCAAAAAAGGGAATTTTATGACACTTTTTCAAAATTTTCTTGAAGTTCATAAGTCCTCTGTATTCTAAGTAGAACAACAGAGAAAGCACACTCTTTATTATTTCAGAAGCTATTTGGATCAGAATGCCAATCTAACTGGCAGTAAAACTGTCCACATGTAAAAGAAAATATGGACCCATTATTTCTCCAAGAGGGAAGAAACAAGCAAAACTGACTAGCTGCAAGATAAAGGCAGACAAGGGAAAACAGTAGTCTATGAAAGACCTGTATATATTCAGATCAATGAAGTTTAAAGGAAAAGTTCATTGTATATTTTCCCCTTGTTGTCAAATAATGCAGCTGTGAATGGGAATGATGGACTTAATCTCAAAATTTGCCTGCAAAATACCTCCATATAAATACACCTGTATTTCACGTAATTTTTTTAACTGGTTTTCTTGACTGATCTTAGTGGGCCAAGCTCTGTATCCTTTTGTACAGCTGTGAACTTTGCTTGCTGGAATTTGCGACACCTTGAATACTGTGTTCAGTTCTGGGCCCCTCACTACAAGAAGGACATTGAGGTGCTGGAGCGTGTCCAGAGAAGGGCAACAAAGCTGGTGAAGGGTGTGGAGAACAAGTCTTTTGAGGAGCGGCTGAGGGAACTGGGGTTGTTCAGTCTGGAGAAGAGGAGGCTGAGGGGAGACCTTATTGCTCTCTACAGCTACCTGAAAGGGGGTTGTGGTGACAAGGGCGCTGGTCTCCTCTCCCAAGTAACCAGCGACAGGACAAGAGGACATGGCCTCAAGGTTTAGATTGGATATTAGAAAAAATTTCTTCACTGAGTGGGTTGTCAAGCATTGGAAGAGGCTGTCCAGGGAAGTGGTTGAGTCACCATCCCTGGAGGTATTTAAGAGACATGTAGGTGTGGCACTTAGGGACATGGTTCCGTGGTGGGCTTGGTAGTGTTAAGTTTGCTGTTGGACTTGATCTTAAGGATCTTTTCCAACCTAAATGATGTTGTGATTCTATGAAGTGTAGGAACAGAATAATAGAGTCAATGACTAAAAAAAAATCTAGCAAGTATTGCAGCAATTCTGAAAGTATTATTATAGCTCATGTTTGCATATCCATTTTCTATGTACATGTAAAGTCACTCCAGTTTTAACAGAGTAGTATGCCAATCATGAACACAGTTGGAGCTTTTTACTGAAACTACTGTATATCCTGGATTATAGCAGGCAGTGTGTCCACCTGCTAAAAGAGGAGATAGGAACGGGCTGTCCGCCTCTGTCATAGTTACCAAACTACGCTCTTTCCTCAACCAGGGATTTACCTGTCTTTGAATACGTTTTTTACTATTGCACAAGAACTACAAAATTTGATTACCAGCATTTTGAATCCTGACCTTAGGTCCAGCAGCAGAGAAAGCTTGTGTTACAACTAAGAACAGTAGGCAAGACTAATCTTTAATAATGATTGATAGTCAAAGCATGCTTTAAAAAAGCAGCTTCTTAAATCTCTCCTTAAAAGAAGTTAAATGTGGGTACAAACAGTTTTAAGTTTTCTTCGTGTGTAGCAAAAGCTAATACCTGTATGTGTGGTCTGAAGCTAGGAAATGTACCCTTTATTTCCTTGCCTATCCTTGCTAAGCTGGTTGCATTGCATGTTGCACCTACTAGGTCCAGAAAAGCACAGAATCTGCAAAGCAAAGCTGTTACGCATTAAGCTCACTGCTTTGTTCTTTGTGAGGAATCTCGTTTCATTTAGTATATGAACTAACAAGCCGCGAGCTAATGTAACTGTATGCGAGACCAAAATTTAGCAAGTGAAAGTTTTACATTGGCTTCCTTCTGATACAAAGCCAAAATACTATTCATCTTTTATGAAATAAGTATTTCAAGGAGTGACACTATATCATGCCTTTGATAGTCTGCTGCTCATTCTCATTCAAAGCTTTTCTCCTGTCTCTATACAGCTGACCCAAATTTCTACAGCAAAAATTTGCTCTTTTTGGGGAAGACATACTTGAAGTTAAACAATAAAAAGATGGCTCTTCTGTGGTTAAGCAAAGCGAAGGATTATCCCGCGCATACCGAAGAGGACAAACAGGTAGGAAATTAAGAATTGTAACAGTACAATTATATACTGTAACCAACATGTATGACATTATGGCAGCGGAATGTTTTATAAAGTTAACTCAGAGTAAATTGTAGTTCGACACCTATATTCCAGGATCACATCCAGACACCAAGAAATTCTGGTATGTTGGTAACTTCCTCTGAACGCAAATGGGAAAAATTCTGTTATAATAAAGAACTGTGATGCTTTCTTCTTCATGATGTTTTTGTAGTGCTAACAACAACCCACCCTTAATTAGTTGTTGAAGTTAAGAAGACAGACACACCTGAGCTAACCTATGTCTATGTGAGCGCTTAACCTGCTTAAAACTGAAAAGGTAGAAATCATAGTGTAGAAGAGCTAAACCACATGAGTAGGAGGCATAAAAAAGCATGGATGTATGAAAAACTTTCTAGATCCATAAAACATAACATTGCAGTCCTTTCCAGGCCCCGAGGGAGAGATTCAGACTATCTGAATTGAGACAAATAGAACCAAATGTATCTTTGACAGGAAATCTCCAGTGCTAGGTGACATGGAGGCACTTAATTATCCTTTTAAACTGCTCAGAAGGATCCTGGTTTGGATGGGTAGGCATCTGCGTCCTACCTAAATACGTACAGAGTCCTTCCAGGAGGTAATCCATTAGACTTGTTCAGACCTAATACTGCATCCAGTATAAACCACAGCAGTTACCTTCCATAAAAAGGTAAGTTACCTTCCATAAAAACAATCCTGTCAGCATCAGGACTCTCAAAGCCTGATTTCCAACTGATTTTTTGTATGGTTGATTGACTTCTAATTCATTTAGCTGCAGTGTGAAATGCTTTAACTGTTACAGAAAACATCCAACCATGTTGTGACATTCTGAATGTCCTAAATGTAAGAAATACTTTGGTAGGATTCTGCACTTCACACCTCAGAAAAAACACTATTTGGGTTTCCCTCTGTAGATTCTCTAGTAAGGCTCGAACTGTTTCTCGCAAAACTCAGTTCCATCAGTAACATCTTTCAGTAGAAATGCAAGCCAAAATTCCGTTCCTCTACTGCTTTGCAAAATGTGTAGGAATTTGTGGTATCAAAGGTCTGTATGAAGTTGGTCCATTCTCCTGACAGTTATTAGTACCTGGAGGCACCGGTGAAACCAGCGATTACAAAAGCTTCCCTCTCTCTAGATGCCACGCAAAAGGAGTCACTAGTGATTTTTGTGCGGTAGCCACTTACTGTTGCAGCAGTGCTGGGCCTCCTGGTACAAACATCTCTTTCCAAGTGCAGAGCTGCTAAACTGCGAGAGGTGGTATTCTCCCTCTGGGTGAAGATATAAAATGCAAAATGCAGTGGGAACTAGACTTGGTAGTCGAGTAAGACGGAAACTGGCCTGTGCAAAGAAATTGGAATTCTTGTCTCTGCATTTGGCAGAGGTAGGCAGGAGTAGGTTTTCCGAACTTTTTTTACCTCCAAGTATCTACAGTATCTGGCTTACATTGCCTGCACTGCTTGCTCCATCAGGGCTAGAAGATTGTTTTGTTTTGTAGATGTTAGATGTCATATTCAAATTTTGTTACATTTTACCCAGAATACCTAGGCAAAGGGAGTCTCAGAAACAATCTTCTCATACTTCCTTAGCTACTCTCCAGAGTTTTGAAAACCGTAGGCTGGTTACAGTTAGAAATAGGACAACTTGCTACCTGCTACTACTGGACTACAGCAAGTCCCAAGAGCTAATTATCTGTATTCAACACAAATAAACTTATTACATATATTAAGTGATTTACGCTGAAGACACAGGCATAAGTTGTTTTATTCCCATTCATGTTTTAAGTGTGGAGCACCTTGAACTACAGGAAGAAGACTGAGTAGTCTTAGGAGGGTTCCAAATTTACAGAACTGTGGTGAAACGCCTGTGTGCTTGCATCGTAAGTAATGCTAGAAGAGCCTATAACCACCTGGCACTGTTTTGTTATATTTCTTTCAGGTACAGAAAGAAGCTTTGGAGTTGCTTAATTCTATATAACAAGAAACAAGATAATGAGAATTCAGCACCTCAGGTTTGAGCAGCATAGGAAAACAACCCCAAATACTACTTTGGTTTATTGAAGCTGTTAATAAAAGTATAGCCTAAACTTGCTGTCGCCCTCTCATTTCAATTAAACGGTCAGCTAGAAGAATGTTTCTTTATGTGATCCTGTCTGTTGATTTACATGGGAATAAAGAGCTTCATGGACAAGAAGAAGAGGGTCTCAAATACTGTGTTCAGTTTTGGGCCCCTGTCCTGGTTTCAGCCAGGATAGGGCTGGTTTTCTTCACAGAAGCCAGTGTGAGACTGTGTTTTGGATTTGGGATGAGAAACTGTTGATAATGTGCTGATGTTTTGGGTTGTTGCTGAGCAGTCAAGGACAGTCCAGCTTCTTGTGCTGGCCTGCCAGCGAGCAGGCTGGGGGTGCACGGGGAGCTGGGAGGGGACACAGCCGGGACAGCTGACCCAGACTGGCCAAAGAGATATTCCCTACCATACGACGTCATGCCCAGTACATAAACTGGAGTTGGCCGGGGGGTGGAAATCGCTGCTCGGGGACAGGCTGTCGATCACGGGGTGGTGAGCAATTGCTGTATTGGGCATCACTTGTTCTTGTACATTCCTTTGTTGGTATTATCATTGTTGTTCCCTTCTTTCTTTCTGTCCTATTAAACCGTGTTTATCTCAACCCACGAGTTTTGTTCCCAATTCTCTCCCCCGTCCCACTTGCGGGAGTAAGCAAGTAAGTCTTGCTTACTGTTCAACACAGCAGAGTTGCGGGTGCAACTAAGCACCACTAAGCGGCTGCGTGGTGCTTAGTTGCCGGCT